GTTGTAAATGTTACTACTCGTGCTCAAGCAAAAGTAGGAAATGAATAGAAAGATTGCTCTGATCCCGAATTGCAAATGAACAATAAAGTCAGTGATTTAAATGATTTATTAGGAAAATCGTCAAAGGAAAGAGAAAACGGCAATGTTATTCCCAAAAAGAAAAGAGGTAGGCCGCGAAAAGGAGTCGTAAACACGGATGGAGCTATGCTTAAGAAAAGAGGTAGGCCATCGAAAAAGGTGTTAGACTCTAAAGAACCTGGTAATGTAACTACTCGAAGTATCTCTAGTGATGATGATACGAGATTTGCTGGTTCTGGAAATCCTCATGATTCTGACTCCGAGTCTGAAGTCGAGTCGGACAATGAATCGGATGATTCATTGGAGGATGTAACTGTTGATGAACAAAAAATTAAGAAAATTAGGTCGAATATTATTTTATCGAAAGAATTATTCCAGTATAGAAAGGATAATTTAGTTTGTTTTGCTGATGAGAGTGGACATCCTTGTGATGAGAGACCTTAATAAATTGCCTTGAATTAAAGCTCCTAGAGTAGGAAGTATTTATCTGTTCAAGGTTAATCGAAAAGTTCATTTTGCATGCATAATTCGAGAATCGAAAGGAGAATCTATAATTCGAGTAAAAAGTCATTTAGGACGATGTTTGGTCAATTTAAAAGTCATGTTGAAAGAAAAAAATATTGAAACAGTTTCAGTTGCTTATTCAAAGTATATAGAAAATATTCCTTGGGATGATGTTTTATCAATGATTAAAGAAATTTTTGAGAATGAAAATATAAAGGTAATTATTTGTTTAGGAACTATTAGGCACGTTCCTCCGGATGAACGTGATAAAATTTTTGCGGAAGCACACTCTTCACCCGTTGGTGGTCATAAAGGTGTGTCTAAATCATATAATAGATTAAAGCATAATTATTATTAGGAAGATTGAAAGGGCGACGTGCAACGTCGAATACAATAATGTTTAGATTGTCAATTAAAGAAATTGACTCGTATTAAAATAGGCAACCGATGATTATTACGGATACTCTAGGTACAGTGTTTGAGAAAATTGCAATGGACAAAGTAGGTCCACGCCAGTTACATCACGAGGAAAAGAATATATCTTAACAATTCAGGATAAATTGTTAAAGTATAGTGTCGCGATTCCACTTGAAAATATGACCGCGATTTCGGTGTCGGATGCATTTATTAAAAGATTTATTTGTGTATTTGGAGCACCAAAGGTTTTATTGACTAATCAAGGTCGTAATTTTATTAGTGCTTTTATGCAAAGAATAATGAAAAGATTCAAAATAAAAAAGTTGCAAACAACCGCGTTTAGGCCATAATCAAATGGTTCTCTAGAGAGATCCCATCATGTGTTGAGAGAGTATTTAAAACAATTCGCATGTAAAGATGACGAATGGGACGACTGGTTAGAATTAGCCATGTTCTCATATAATACGAGTGTTCATGAAGGTACAAAATTAACACCTCATGAATTTGTTTTTAGAAAAATAGCGCGCGTTCCGACAAATGAACCTTTGCATAACTCAGATCGTCTGCCAACGTATGAAAATTATATAACAGATTTAGTGGAAAGATTGATGACCATACGTAAATTAGCTTTGAAAATAGTTCATTCTGATAGACTAAAAAAGTTGAAAATAACGATCTTCGAAGCTAAAGAACAATTGAAGAAGTCAAGAAAGCGACTAACCAAGGAGAAGGATCCAGATTATCGAAATTAATTTTTGTTGTTTTATTTTTTTTTCTTTCAGTAACAATGCAGAGATTCCAAATTTTGTTATTGTTGATTGTAGTTGAAGCAGTTCAAGCCATTATTGGGTATGATTGCGGTTCTAAGTCGTTGAATATGACAACGATATCTCTATCAGACATTGAGGAATGCAATGTTAAAGACGAGCATGTACGAATAGCAAATGTGAACCTTTTCTTACTGCAAATTGATGAATATGATCATGTTGAAATAAAACAATGTAAAGTTGAAATAAGTAGAACTGTGCATTATTGTGGAATGCATTCTCATGTTTCGGTTGTCGATAACGCGTACATGGATTATGTCCATTCCATGTCAAGGGAAGCATGCCAGATAGCGCACGATCATGGCACGCTTCGAATCGCTAACGCAGTAATAGATGGTTTACTATTAAATACAACTACAATTAGAAGCATCACCTTAGCAGGCTCATCAACTCAAAATGGAGCTTGTTCAGGTGCACAGTACTCAGATCCATTCGGTACATGGAATTCTGTAGTAGTGATGGGCACTGTTCGTGTTAGTTTACGATCAGCAATAGCCCGAGTGAAAACGGATTCTAATAAAATTTATTTGCAGTCCGGTTTTCAATGTAATTTGAATTCGGGAACATGTGCAGATCCCGAAGGAGGACATAACTTCTGGGATCAATTACCGCGTAGATATTGTTTTATGACTACATATTCAACATTATAGAAGATTAGCTCAAAAATTAGAAACTAAAAAGGAAACGATTTATATAGTTCAGTCGAAAGATACTACATTTTCATTATCTGTAATTGGAGCTGAAGACTCATGTGGTCTCAAATTATTAAAGACTGAGCATCCAAAACTTTTCATAGTTATTGGAACTTCACTCGGTCAAGTAGAAGCAACTAAAGCAGTCAACACAACAACTGATAACATGAACATTTTTCTTTATATTAATACTAAATTTATTTATGTTGAAAGACACATTGGACGTCAGCTCCAAACATTATATCATGATGTAATGATGCATAGGTGTAAGCTAGAGAAGGCGATTCTACAGAACAGCCTGGCTATTCTATCAGCTCAGCCCGATGAATTCGCCTACAGATTCATGAAAGGACCTGGATTCATGGCAATACTGGCAGGAGAAGTTATTCATATTGTATAATGTATTCCAGTTGAAGTTAAGATTCACGATACAGAAATTTGTTGTAACAGAATACCAATATTAAGATACAATCAAAGTTTTTTCTTATCAGCGGAAACTCATATAATCACAAATCATGCAGCACAAATTCCTTGTAATTCGCCATTATTACAATTTTATAGAATAGAACAGACATGGTATAAGTTCATGCCGAAACCTGTCGAAACAGCACCACCGATTAGTCTAAAACCAGACTCGAAAACTACTTGGGAATACAAAAATCCCGTTCATTTGGCGAGTAGCAGAATTTATAGGTCCGAAGATTTAGAAACCATGAGGAATCGAATAATTTTTACCATGGAACAATCAGCAGTATTAGAGACAGTTGCGGGAAAGGCAACCAGAGGACCAATATCAAAGAAGCCATCAATTTATAATATGTTGGATGAAGAATCGTTGGAAAAATAAGCCAAGAATGCCTGGGAGAAGACCTGGGGCAGATTTGTCAAATTTGGGATCATCAGCGCAGGATTCACCGGCGTGTTTATGGTCCTGAAAATATGTAAACTAATAATAGATACCATTGTACATGGTTACACACTTCATACCGTGTACGGATGGTCATTGAAATCAATAGAAGCCCTCTGGGACTCAGTAACATACTTATTGGTTCATTTGACAAAAGATAATTCAAATAAATATTCTTCACCAAATATAAAGGTGTCGGATATAAACGTTAAACGTGGAGAAGATGTTACAGCAGCTGAAACTAGTTCTCCATTATATCCAGATATAGAAAATCAAAGAACAGAAATGACAACTCGAGTATTTGTCAAGTGAATAACTTTCCGCAAAATTGGCCTACTCGACTTCAATTAATTTGCAGAAGGATGACATAGGAGCCACCAGTAAGCTGCCAAAAGGTCTTCGAAAGGGTTCTAAAATAGATATAAAATAGTTTATCATTGTCCACCAACAGATAGAAAGTAATTTCATATAACTAACCATGTATGAATTGAGTGTTACTAATCTTATTGTAAAAATCTTATTTTAAAAAGAAAAACGTCGCACTCAATCAAATTTTGTCGCTCGCACTTCCGTCTAACACGGAGGGTGTAATGTCTAAATGTATTTTAATTATTTCACATAATTATTTAAAATATATTTTAAGAAAAGCTAAAAATGAATAGCAATAAAACTTAAGGATTGAGGTTAACGATTATTACTCAAGTTATTTTTTGAGCTTCCCTTAGATTTCGTTGAAATAGAAAGGATTTCGAAGAATAGTTGAGGAAGTCATTTTTTAGATATTTTATTGCTTTTAGAAAACCCACGTGGCGAAAAGTAATAAAATTTTTAAAAAAGAGTACGTGACGTAAGAAGAGCGTTAGCTATTCCAAAAAAAAAGACCATGCGAAGGGACTTGTGTGCGCCTGAAGCAAGGGACTTCTAATTATGTCACATTCGACTAAATAAATACGTAAGGTTTGATGCATCAGTCAGTCGTCGAAAAAGTAAGTTTGCAATTAGATCATCGTGGAACATCTCTTGAAATTGTAAGTCGTTTTTGTCTTGAACATTGTGTTGATAATATTTCAAAGTTTGTAAATTTTTGTATGAAGTTTATTTGATCGTTAAATTATTTTTCAATTGATATTTAAATTAATTTGCGAGTAAAAGTGAATACTGCGCTGACCGGAGCATCGACTAAGGATCAATGAATCCCGGGGTTCGGTGATCTTTACAAACGAATGAGTAGAACATTAGCTGAGCACCTACCGGGAGCGTCTCCAGGTGGTGGATAGGAGCATTGTTGGGGTAGTACCGAGTGGAGGCCTCGGAGGCCTCGAGGCGTACCGAGTGCGAACACGAGGGAAGCCACTAGCAAGTGCAGCTTGGGTGTGTACACACTTCAAGCGGCACCGTGGACCAACTCCCGGGTCGAGGTGTAATCTATCGTGCTAAAGACTGAATGGCACTGGGACACTGTGTCGCACACGATGCCCTTGGGGTACCAGGCAACCCCCGATTGTAGCCAGCCTTACTTGTGCAAGAGGCTCTGCGTAGGTGGATCTTTATTTCCTCAATACTCGTGGAACTCTAATGAATGACTCTGGCAACATTCGCAGTAATGGGCGTCCTATTTCTTCTGATGAAGAAATAGGACTTGGTGAAGCCGAGGCGGGGCAAACCGGCAAGGACGGCGAGGTAAGAAGCTCGATAAACCTGATTCATCTTTACGCCCTGATAAGAAAGAACTTTGCGGGGCAGAGAAGAAGAGAAGGAAAAAGGCTAGGTTGCTGGAACTGCTGAAATCCAGAAATACTGCACAAGGGATCTAGTGGCAGTAGAAGTAAAAATAAAACTGGGGAGGGAGCCAGTTGACGTAGTCATCGGCTCGGCATACCTCTCTTATGACTCTGTTAAACCACTACCCACTGAGGAGGTCAGACGGCTCGTAGAGTACTGCTGGAGGATGAACTGTGAGCTCATACTGGGATGTGATGCCAACGCTGATCACATCCTCGGGGGCAGCAGTAACATTAGTGAGAGAGGGGCTAGCTTACTGGAATACGTCACTCAGCACGGCCTGGAAGTCCTGAACAAAGGGCACAAACCTACATTTGTTACCTCCGTTAAGCAGGGAGCTATTGACATATCCGTCGCTACAGCGAAAATCTATGATTTCGTCAGGATGTGCGAGGCGGACGAAAAGGAAACTCTATCGGACCACCGACGCATTGATCTCACTCTGGCGAGGGAGGTGGACAATGTGGAACCGGAAGTCCGAAGGGACCGAAGGAGTGCTGACTAAGGCCTGTTTAGGCAGGAACTGGAAAGACTCATAGGGGAATCTCGAACGGAAGGGCGTGTAGGGTCCTCGGCTAGCCTCGATGAGGCAGTGCTGGACCTACAGGACACCATTGTAGGGGCCTATGGTTACTCATGCTTAGCCAGGGTGATGCAGGAGGGAAGGAGAGTCTTATGGTGGAACAGGGAACTTGAAAAAGCTCCCAGGAAAACCAGGAGACTCTTCGACAGGGTCGAGAAGCTTAAGACAGATTAGACACGGACTGAATATAAAACCTCTCGGAAGTAATTCAGGTCTATGATCAAGTCGATAAAGAGGCAAGCCTGGAGAAGCTTTTGTGAGAGACTGGAGGCCTTACTTGAAGAAGCCAGGATCTGCAAGCTGCTTACTCAGGGCAGGAACGTGGCGCTTTGAGGCCCAGTATCTCCTGAAGGAGTGATGGTCAATGATCATCAGGGCATATTGGAGCTTCTTCTTGAAACGCACTTTACGGGATCGACCCCAGTCCAAAAAACCACAAGCGAGGCTGATGAACCAGGTGGGCTCGTAAAGGCCAACTAGGAAACCGTCAGGCGAGTGGTGACTTACGATCGTGTAAAATGAGCAGTCGGTATCTTTGATCGCTACAAAAGTCCGGGCACAGACGTAGATTATCTGGTTCTGTTGGAACAGTGTTCCGAACCGTACGATAATTATCGTACTTATACGATATTTAGGGTCTCTTGTACGATGTACGATTGTCTCTTAGTATCGTATACAAAAATACGATAATTTCTCTATTTTCTGAAAATTTTATTAGTCCAATGATTGCGATGATTTGAATGAATTTCAAAGTTAATTTTCCTGTCACCAGGTTCCAGGGTGTGATCAGAGATTTGAGAAAATTGTTTTTAAAAAATGTTTCTGTCCAGAAATATAGATTAGATGGCTCTGCTTTTTTTGAGTCTGTTTATTAGACTATATAAACATATGCATACTATCCTGCATTTTTTTACATTGTCATATTCTCTTATATTGCCAGATGGTATCGAATGGTCGTCAAGAACTCGTACAAAACAAGTATCCATAAAATTAATTTCGTCATTTGTCATTGCAGATAACTTGAATTAAATTAAATTTGTCTATAAAGTGCATTTTCTTATTTTTGCTCCAAAATGAATACTGAAGTTAAAACAGAAGATGAGCATCAAACACCACCGAAAAAAAAGCAAAAATTAATCAGCAACATCGACCACAGAAATTTAGAGATGCATGGCTTTCAAATTGTGATTTCAAACTTTGGCTTATGAAAGTTCCGAATGATCCTTTCAAAGCCAAATGTAAAATTTTTAATATAATTTTAACTTCTGAGTTAACAGTAATTAAAAACCATCAAAAAAATCAGAAGCATCAACGTAAACTCACCCAACCTGAAAAGAAAATCGAGACTTTTTTCAATCAATCTCACTCTGAACCAAATAAATCAAATGATGATTCTATCTATTTAGAAATTAAACTATCTACATTTTTGGTTGAGCATAATATTAGTTTTACGATTTTGGATCACTTAACACCACTTTTGAAAGAGTGCATTGAAGATTCAACTATTGTTAAAAAAATGCAATTAAAAGCTGATAAAGGAGCTGCAATAGCAAAAAATATTCTAGGTCGTGCGAAAAAGGATGACTTACAAGATGAACTAAAATCAAGTCTTTTTAGTATTCTTATTGATGAAAGCACTGATATTTCTGGAGTAAAAACAATGTGTATCATAGTAAGGTGGGTAAAGAATCTTTTGTTACACATCATCATTGATATCTAGTTTCAAAATTAATACTTTTTAATTAATAATAATTTATTTGAATCTTAGATTCTTTAGTCCTCAAGAGGAACGCATAATTAGTAAATTTTGGGAGCTATGTCAAGTGTTTGGAGGTGATATTAAGGGCGACCAAGCCAGTGCTGAGCATTTGTTTAAGTTAGTGAGTAATTCATTTGAATCTCATGGAATTCCATCAAAACATATCATCGGATTTGCATCGGATGGATGCAATACGATGATGGGGAATAAAAATTCCGTAGCAAGTAGGTTTGAAGAACAATGTCCAGGAATCTACATTTTCAAATGTATATGTCATTCACTACACTTATGTGCTAGTGAAGCGTGCAAACAATTGCCTAGAAGTTGTGAAGACTTAGCCCGTAACATCTATAACGAATTTAAAAATAGTGCTAAGAGACAATTTCTTTTTCGAGAATTTCAAAGTTTCTTAGACACTGAAATTCATAAAATACTCAGACCAGCTCAAACGAGGTGGTTATCCCTAAGTTCAGTCGTAAACAGAATTGTTGAACAGTGAGAAGCTTTGAAGCTATATTTTAGTGAACAAGCACTTACTGCTCGAGTACATTCTGTCGAACAAATTGTTCAATCACTCAATAATCCTCTTATAAAGCTTCTTTACTTGTTTCTGAAATGGGTTTTACCCAAATTTACTAAGTTAAATGCATTGTTTCAATCCAAATCTGTTATTTTATCATCTCTTTATGAAAAAATGTCTGTTTGTTATCGGGAGCTTTTAGAAACATATTTATGTAAAAATTATATCGATCGAACTCTTTTAGAAGATATTAATCCTTCAAATGAAGAACAACGTTTACGTCTTGAACAAATATACTTAGGGGTTGATGTTATGAGTACGTTAGATGAGCCCGAAATTAATTCTAATGAGAGACTAAAAACAGACTTTCGAATGACTTGTCTTAAATTTCTTGAAGTAGGATGCAATCAAATCAAGCAAAGATTTAATTTCAATGATAACATCTTAAAGTTGATATCTAATTTAAATCCATCAAAAGCCATGCTTCGAAAAACTAGGGAACAAGTACATACTCTATTTCCACTGATGAAAGCTTTACCTCGTATTGTAGCTAATCCTGAGCAGTGTCAAGCAATAGATGATGAGTGGCGGCAATTGCCTTTTTTGAACTGCCAGGACACATTAATTTAGAAGATGAGACTGATTTATTTTGGACAAAATTATTAAAATGTGATGAAGGTGATCAGGGTTTAATATTTAAAAATATTTCTCAATTTGCTCTAGATGCTCTCTCATTACCTTTTTCAAATGCTGATTGTGAAAGAATATTTAGTCAAGTAAATTTAATTAAAACTAAATCGAGAAATAAAATGATTACACTTACACTTAATGGATTACTTTTAGCAAAACAACGAGTGCAATTACAAAAAAATTGTATCAATTTTAAACCATCTAAACATGAATTTAGTTATTTTAATACAGCTTCAATGTATCCTAAAAAGATAGTGACAAAAACAACTGATAACTCTAAAATTAGTGACTTGTACGAAAATGAAGATTTAGATGATATTCTGAGTGTCATTTTACCAAATGAATAGAGACTTGAGCTATTTTGCAAATTATTCATTATAATTGCTTACTAAAAGATTGTTTGCAATAAAGATAAATATATATATATATATACATGCAAGTGGACGTTTGGTAACATTTTGTGCGACCAAAGTGGAAATTTGGTGACGAATTGGAATTTTGGTGACTGTCACCAAACTTCCCTACAACGATTATGGAAGTTTGGTGACAGTCATCAAACTTCCAAAATAATTTTGAAATCTATAAAAAAAAGAAAAGTAACAGAAAAATACGATAAATGTCGGATATACGGTTAAAAACCATATAATATAATAAGTTCTGTTCTTCAAGAATCTAGGGAAAGCAGAATAACTGAGGAAAAATCAAAATTTGTTGCAGAAAATAGATCTTTTACAAAAACTCGGTGACTGTCACCGAACTTCCAAAATAATTTTGAAATCTATAAAAAAAAGAAAAGTAACAGAAAAATACGATAAATGTCGGATATACGGTTAAGAACCATATAATATAATGAATTCTATTCTTCAAGAATCTAAAAGGAGCAGAATAACTGAGGAAATATCAAAATTTGTTACAAAAAAAAGATTTATCACAATTAGTTTTTTAATTTTTTACCTAATAACGGATATTGAAGATTAAAACGTGAACGTTATATATAATAACATCCATGTATACATTTACCATAGTATACTTGTAACAAAGTTATGTACCATTAATGTTCCATTTATGTAGCATAAGTTATGTATTACAAATAAGCATATACATAAACATATAAGCAACATCATTAAGTTATGTAACAAAATATTATATCCAATGCAAAATAATTCATGTATCGCAGTGTCTATATAACATATGTAACGTAAGTTACATTACACTGATGTTATTTCATTTTATTGATGCTATGTTACACTGAGGAAATGGCTGCGACATAACATAAACATAACATGAAAGTCACTGTTGTGACGTTTTTTTCAAAGTAACATTGTTTGGTCACGAGGACATAATATAACCGTCACAATTGTGACGTTATACTACAATCACAATGCTATGTAACTGATACGTAACATAGAAGTAACAATTAGGTACATATCATAAAACTCAAATTTGATATAATTGTTATGTCACCTATAAGGCGAAAAAGTTACGTAACTTGTTACTTCCTTGTTATATCACATTTACATTCTGTGTTCACTGGGTAACTCCTCCAGTTACAGGAGCACTCTTACTGATGATGAAAGGAAATGATCGTAAAACTCAATTTCTGTTCTTTTACAACAAATGGTATGTTACGAACAAAAGAAGTATGTTTATATCCATTTTACACAGTGGATAACATTGTTTCAGTAAAAGAAAAAATTTCCCGTTGAAAGATCTCAAATTGAATAAATCCTGTTTTCAATTGTTTATAACAAATTTAATTGTTATAAACAATTCACATTAACAAAAAGTAGCATATAACTTTCCGAACAACCCCCTCTACATATCTGTTAAATTTGGTCGCAATCGAATTAACCGTTTTGGAGATTACCCCGAACAGACAGATAGACACCAGAAATTTATATAGTAGTATACATACGTGCAAGTGGAAGTTCGGTATCATTTCGTGCGATCAAAATGGAAGTTTGGTGACGAATTGGAATTTTGGAGACAGTCACCAAACTTCCAAAAAAATTTTCTTCTTCCAAATTAATTTTTTTTTCAATAAGGTTACTAGAAACCACGCGCGCTCTCCGAGCGCGCTGTCTCAAGACAACAACGTTGAAAATTATTTAATTTTTATTTTTATTTATTTCGAAAATTTAAAAATTTATAACAATTTGAGGTATTTCCTATGCTACATAGGTGTATTTTCTGCTCTTTTATTACTCTGCCAAGCCAGTTTTTTATTTTTCTGAAATAGAAAAAAGTTCAATCAAATAATGTCTTTTAGAAATAGTGAAAAATATGATATTTCAATAAGACATTATTTAAAGCCAACCACAAAATTTATAACAATTTCAGGTAGTTCCTATGCTACATAGGTGTATTTTCTGCTCTTTTATTACTTTGCCAAGCCAGTTTTTTATTTTTCTGAAATAGAAAAAAGTTCAATAAAATAATGTCTTATGAAAATAGTGAAAAATATGATATTGCAATAAGACATTATTTGAAGCCAACCACAAAATTTATAACAATTTTAGGTAGTTCCTATGCTACATAGGTGTATTCTCATAATAAATTGTTTCAACTCCTATTAGATGATTGAACTTAATCTGTTGTATCTTAGTGCACGTCAAATTCTTCAAATTCCTTGTATAGCTGACTTTCATTTAGTAATTTTATTGTATTTATTCATAAATTTATACACACTTGCCAACTGATCTCGAGGTTTGGTGACAGTCACTGGACTTCCATATCAATGAGATTTGTGATGTTACCATGGCTTTTTGACAGATGATATTTTATTAATTTTAGAAACCATTAGTGATTTAATATATGATTATAAGTGATTCAGATAATGAGAAATTCAAGATAGTATTATTTTGACTAGACGAGTATTCTACAGAGAAGTTGGATATTTGAATATTCTTAAGTTTTATGTATTTTTTGTCAAAAGTTTTCAATAATTTTCTATCTATACATACAATCCAACTGTTGTCGAGGTTTGGTGACAGTTACCAAACTTCCATATTAATACTATTCGTGATGTCACCATGACTTTTGTATCAAACTAACAGATTCCCGCGACTTCGTCCGCGAATAATCCGATTCCAAAAACCTATTGCTGTGTAATAGGATTAATTAAAAAAATAACATATGCGTGAGTATTCATAAAAAAAGGTAATAATGCGAATTCTATCGTAAGACTCAATTTCAGTTCCTTTGCATGAAATTATATATTACAAACAAAAGAAGTCGGTTTACATTCATTTTACACAGTGAGCAACGTTGATTCAGTAGAGGAAAAAATTTTTCGTTAAATAAACTTGAACACGATGCATAGATTCCATTATCAATTGTTTATAACGAATTAGGTAAGTAATAACGAAAGAAATAGGTTCCCATTCGTTAGACACGGTTAGTAACTTTATACTAGTGTAAGAAAAAATTTTCCGTTGAAAGAGCTCAAATAAATTGAATAGAACCCATTTCTCATTTTTTAAAACGAATTCAATTGTTATAAACAAAAGGAGTATGCTAACATACATTTTACATGGTTTGTAATTTAATTTCAGCAAAAAATAAATTTTCCGTTGGAAGAGTTCAAATACATTAAAGAGATCCCGTTTTCAATTGTTTATAACACATTTAATTGTTATAAACAATGCACGTAAACAAAAAGTAGCCTATAAGCTTTCTGACAACGCCCTCTACATGTGTGCAGAATTTGGTCGCAATCGAATAAGCCGTTTTGGAGATTAGCGCGGATAGACAGACAGATAGACAGACAGACACCAGAAATTTATATAGTAGTATATAGATAAAATTTTGCTTGATTTTAGAAATTGTAAGTAATTGACTAGTTTATCCAACACTTAATATTATAGGACGAAACAATAGACTAATTTGAGTTTCATGCTTTTATTTAAAAGAAAATGAAACATGATTATGACAAAAAAAAATGTACTACTAATAATAAATAAATTTACATGCTGAATCGCAAATAAATACATTGGAACAGTAGCCTTAATCCTTTGGAAGAATGAATCACACCATACTACAATCGCAACTATAATATCAAAAATCATTTCCAATATCCAGAACAATCAATGGCGTAAGTCGTAGCGAGTCTGGATTCAAACGGGGATATTTAGGTTCGATTCTGGGTCACTGCAATTTTTTTTTCTGTAATCCCGTCGTAATTATTGCATTTGTACTATTTTTGAAATTTATTCAATCTAAAGAGCAAATTTTTTTCTCCAGTATATTTATTTATGCAGTACTTTTAATATCACATATGGTTTTTTAAG